GTCCACATATTCTTTATCCAGCCTATCACTGATGAACATTTAGGTTGATTTCATGTATTTGCTATTGTGAATAGTGCTGCAGTGACATACACATGCATGTGTCTTTATAATAGAATGATTTATATTCCTCTTGGTATATACCCACTAATGGGATTGCTGGGTTGAATGGTATTTCTGTCTTTAGGTCTTTCAGGAACTGACACACTGTCTTCCACAATGGCTGAACCAATTTACACACCCACCAACCTTGTATAAGCATTCCTTTTTCTCCACAACCTCATCAGCATTTGCTATTTTTTGACTTTTTAATAGTAGCCATTCTGACTGGTGTTAGATGGTATCTCATTGTGGTTTTGATTTGCATTTCTCTAACTATCAGTGATGTTGAGCATTTTAAAATATAATTGTTGGCTACATGTATGTCTAGTACATGGGAATGTAATCTAGTACAGCCATTATGGCAAATAGTATGGAGGTTCTAATAGTATGGGGAATTTAATCCATTTAAATTCAAGGTTATAATAGATTGATGAGGACCTATTTATCTCATTTTGTTGATTGTTTTCTGGTTGTTTTGTATATCCTTCCTTTCTTATCATTGATTTTTGTGGTGGGTGGTTTTTTGTTGTTGTTGTTGTTGTTTGGTTTTTGTGTTTTTTTTTTTTTTTTTGGAGTGATAGGGTTCGATTCCTTTCTTTTTTCCCCTTTGTGTATTGGCTCTACCAGTGAGTGTTATAGTTTTGCATGTTTTCATAATGGTGGTTATCATCTTTTCACTTCCACTTGTAAGACTCCCTTGAGCATTTCTTGTAAGGCTATGCTAGGCATGATGAATTCCCTCAGGTTTTTGCTTGTCTTGGGAAGATTTTATTTCTCATTCATTTCTGAAGGATAGCATTTGGATATAATTTTCTTGGCTGGCAGTTTCTTTCCTTCAGTTCTTTGACTATCTCATCCTGTTCTCTCCTGTCCTGTAAGGTTTCTGCTGAGAATTCTGCTGTTCTTCTGCTGGGGTTTCCCATTTATATGATGACATTTTTCTCTTGCCATTTTTGGAAATTTCTCTTAGTCTTTGAATTTTGACAGTTTGACTGTAATGTTCCTCAGATAGACTTTTTTGGGGTTGAATCTATTTGGGGATATTGGAGCTTTCTGGATCTGTATGACTAACTCTCTCTGAAGACTTGGGATTGTTTTCAGTTATTATTTAATTAAATGCTTTCTACACCTTTCCCCTTCTCTTCTTCTTCTGGAATGCCCTTAAGTTCAGAAATTCTTTCTTCTGCTTGGTCTTATCTGTCATAGAAGCTCTCAATTATAATATTTTTCATTGAAATCTGTAGCTCTGGGATGTGTTTTTGATCCTTTTTTATGATATATATCTCCCTATTGAATTTCTCATTCAAACCATGAACTGTCTTCCTGATTTTGTTGAATTGTCAATCTTTATCTTGTATCTTAATTGCATTTCTTTAAGATTATTATTTTACATTCTTTTTCTGGCATTTTGTATATTTTCTTATGATTGCGACCTGTTACTGGTGAGTTACTATGTTCCTTTGGAGGTTTCATGTTTGCTTGCTTTTTCATGTTTGATGTGTCCCTTCATTGATTTCTATGCATCTCGAAAAACAATCACCTTTCCAACTTTATGGAGTAGCTTTCATAAGGAAAGACTTATTCATAGGTATGGGTTTTACAGTGTCAGTCATTGGGTGCATGGACTTGATTCTAGATGGATACAGTAGTGTAGTCTCCATGTAGTTTCTTCAGTTGTAATCCGTGCTGGTGACATTTGCAAATGTCTCAGCAGCCTAGGCTGTGAGAGTTTGTGAAGGCAATGGTGCAACTTTGCTGGAGGTGGGCTCACCAGGCTGTTTCTCATGTCAGGGGCATGTGCATGCATGCAGTGAATCAGCCAACTCGGGATCTGGCTCACTTGATTTGGAGCCATAGGGCTACTACTCTAGCTGGGGGCATAGGCATACAGTTACTTGGCTGGCCTGGTTGTGTGTCTGCCAGGGTTGCCCATGGGATTGTTTCTTAGGCCCTTAGCACAGGCACAGAGTCATTAGGCAGGCCTGGGGCATGTCTGCAGCATGGGGGATGCACCACAGGGCGGTTTCTTAGGTCCATGAGGTAAGCACAATGCTTCTTGGCCAGCCTGGGAGTGTGCCCACCAGCGGTGACCCATAAGGCTGTTTCTCAAGCCTGAGATATGGGTGCATGGCTGTTCAGCTGGCCTGAAGGGGTTGTGTCTGCCAGGGGCAACCCACGGAGCTATTTTTCAGGCTTAGGATGAAGGCAAAGGTTTGCTTGGCTAGCCTGGGGGTGTGTGTTTCAGGGGTAACCTGTAAGGCTGTTTCTCAGGACCTGATTGTGGGCACAGAGCTGTTGGGCAGGCCAGGGGCATGTCCTTAGTGGAGGCACTTGTGGGGCTATTTCTCAGGTCCTGGGCATGGGCATGTAGCACTCTGCCAGCCCAAGAATGTGTCAGCTGTTCAGTGGCTCTGGGACCCCTCCTACTTCAAGAAGAGTACACAGCAGTTTGGCCAGCTCAAGGGTAGGCTCACCCTAAATGGGACTGCCAGATTGTTCCTCTGGCTAAAAGTGCAGGCATTGGGGATTGGTTTCTCTGCTGGCAGGACCACAATCAAAGCCAATCCTGGGCCCAGGCTCTGCACAGCTCGGGTTGTGGCATAGAGCCACCCATGGGGACTTGGTGGAAGAATGAAGATGAAGTCCCAGTGCTGGAGAGTTGCATGGTTACTGGTCCCTAGAGCAGGGCCCACTCCAGAGGTAGCTCTGGTCTCAAGATGGTGCGATGCTGCTGTAGCTTGGCTCACAGCGGGAGAGAAGGTGGGTGGGAAGTACACACCTTGTGCTCCCGATCCAGAGCAATGCAGCTGCAAGAATTTCCAGCAGCTCCCTAAAATGGGCCCAGGACTAGAAAGTACTCTGAGATTGTCCTGTATAATGACTGTAGGTGTTTCAATGGCAATGGGGCTGGTAGGGTTCTTCTGCTTACCTCATCTTCACCAGGAGAAGTCCCTCTTGACTCCCAGCTGATCTGGACAGGGGAGACAGGGCTGCAGAGGCAGGATGCCTCCACATTGTCCTCCTGGGCTTCCAGTCACCACAGGTACCTCTCCATCCTCTCACTGTACTCATGCACTCTCCCATTGACATTCTAGTCAAATCTTAACTGTTTATTTGTTACACTGGTCCTTTCTTATGGGGAAGACTACTTCCAAGTACTTCTAGCCAGCCATCTGGCCAGTCACCAGGCCCAGAATATACTATATTTATGTACAAGCAAAAATTGCTAATCACTCACTTTTTTTCAGTTCTGTTTTTTTTCACAAACTATACTCTTCCATGTCCAAGACAAAATTAGGAATGCCACCTCAGATTGTATTTACTCTTGTGACAAAATTTCAAGGGAACATTGTTTATTGTTTTTGATCCAGACATATGTAGTTATTGAGTATTGTTTCAACCCCTCATCCTGTTTTTTCTCTTAGTGCTGGGCCTTTCTCCATTGAGTTATTTTTTTCATGTCATATTTTTGAGAGCAAATCCAAATGCCATATCATATCTACTATACTCCTCCAGGATTTCTGCTATATCTATATATTCTCCCTTCACCAAACTTAAATATCCAGCTCTGTTGATCCAGTTGAGGTTTCTGCCACACAATTTCTCTCTGGATTTTAGATGTAGTTTCTCCCATGCCAGGAGCCCATTGTTCTAATTTAATAAATCAGTTTCAGAAAATCATTTCAGGCTAAAGCTGAAATGAACATGGCTCCTCTACTCTCATGTTACTCAGGACTTCGAGATCATTGGATCTGTTTCCCACACTTTCTAGGCTTCTTCTGGCCATAGCATTGCTTTTCATGTGACCCAAAAAGAGTGCGTAACTATCAGTGTGTAACAAGCTTTGGCAGTTCTCCAAATGAGGTGAGACAGGAAATAAGTTAGCCCTGTGTTACCTCTGTTGGCCTCTACTGGAGAGCTCCCCACAAGCTCTCTGCCCTTCCCCACCTGAACTGAAATACCATGAACCTATGGGTGTCTCAGTCTCCTGAAGAGAGTCACTAATGCTACCTACTTTTTTAAATGCTTTTTTTAAAGAAATCTTGGATTTATTCTCAAAAGCAAAATGTCCTTATGTTTATAATAACTCTTCTGGCAGAGTTTGTTTTCCTACTTTTTCTCATCTGTTACCTTTTCCATTGAATTTGAGGTCCTATATAGATATGAATTCAGTTAAATTAAAATAATCCTTCAGCAATGTTATTTCTAGTTTGTCTACTACTATTCAATCGCAAATGTAGATGTATTGAGGGCTTCTGTGAACTGCCTGAACCGGGTTCCTGCCTAATTCATTATTGTACCCACTCCTCCATACCTCTTTTCTCAGTGCCTGTCGCAGCTATTTGGCATACTCTCCATACCAAGTATATGTTTCTCTAATGTTTGAATGAATGAATGGATGAATGAAGCTTATTTTGACTCAGAAAAAAATATTCTGATGGGTTTGAATGAAAACGTTAGTCTTAGGACAGGCACAGTGGCTCATGCCTATAATCCCAGCACTTTGGGAGGCCAAGGTGGGAAGATGGACCAGCCTGGACATCATAGAGAGACCGAGTCACTACAAGAATATTTTAAAAATTAGCCAAGCATGGTGGCATGCACCTTTCATCCTACCTATTTGGGAGGCTGAGGTGGGAGGATGGCTTAAGCCCAGTAGTTCAAGGCTGCAGTGAGCCATGACTATGCCACTGTACTCCAGACTGAGCAACAGGGTGAGACTTTTGTCTCAAAAAAAAAAAAAAAGGTGGCAGGTGGGGGATATTAGCTTTAAAAAAAAAAACACTTAGCCTCAGTTCTCCTTAATCGCTATTGCTTTCTTGCTTTCTCAAATTGATGTGGTTAGGGTAGAATATATGAATAATTTACTCATTCCTGATTAAATATGTGTTTTGCCTAAGGATTTATTTTTAGAAGATTTGAACTATATCATCAATTCAGGAAGAATACCTGACCTGTTTGAAAATGTTGAGCTGGATTCTATTGCGATGAAAATCAGATCTCTTACTGAACAGTCTGGTCATATGGATAATAGGCAATCTTTACTTTCACTCTTTCAAAAGGTACTTTTTTGTGACTTGGCTTTATCAAATTGTCATGTTAAAAGTAGACCATGTTTATAATTCTGTACATGATTTTTAAGTTGGATATAATTTCTTTAGATCTTTATATGAGTTTTTAAGGTAAAATAATGAGTACCCTACCCACAGACAAACCATATCCTTAGGTAGGTCAAAAACTTACATGAATCTGAGCCTGTCTGGCTATCAACGATTTTAAAAAATAATACCAGCAAGAGGCAACAAAATGAAAAATAAAATCCCAAGAGTATTTCTTACACAAAGATTCTTTCTCAGATAATGATGTTCTTATTTCATCTTTTTGGTAACAAGTCTGGAAAGGCAAGAAACAAGAAACATTTCATCCTTTGGAATAGTCCTGGAATTGACCAGGAGGTGATGGATACAAAAAGAAATTGACTGGATACAGCAGGTGCTATTCAGAATGAACTCAGCAGCAGAGGAGCTGTGAACAAACTGGTTTGATGAGAGATATAGATTAGTCAAAATGAACTCAACTTTCTGTGTCTTTGAGACATGATGACTGACCAGTGGCTTAGCGAATATATGGACATGATTACTCAAACTAGAATACTCACTGGGGAAGGACCACAGGTGGATTTATTTCTGGTGCTAGTTTTTGTCTATCATAGGGCAATTTAAAAATTGAATTTGGCCATCCACCATTTCTCACCTTAGTAACAACATTGCTAAGTATCAAACAGATACTTAGTAACCTGTCACAAGAAGATGTTTTAAAAATTCCAAAAATGACTCCACAGTTGATAGAGAACAAGGTAATATGAGTGGATATCCTTAGATTTAGTTAGATTTTTTAATAACATTGTAGAAAGAAGGATAGCATTTATCCTGACAATTGTGGCACTCTTGTGCCTTGTTACTATATTTGGTTTATTCATTAGATTTAAATAATAAGGAAGAAAAAAGAAATTTCAGTTTGGAGTGCAGAGAAGTACTCCAGAAAATGAATAAATAAACCAAGAATCTCAGTTAGAAATCAATTTTAATTATATACATGATATATGTATAATATATATAATACTATGCTTCCAAAACTAATTTGACATGTCCTACAATAATAACAAATAATAAAGGCACACTTTAAACTGCTAACATTTGATATCTCTAGGTAGAAGTTTTGGGAATGTGTAAAACAAAGAGAGGTATTTTCATTTTTACTTTAAACATTTCCACATTTCATGAATTTTGCACTGAGCAGTTTTATTTGCCTTTATAAATTTGTTAAAGACAAAAAAGAGGAAAAAAAACTTACCTTTTAGTCTTCTTTCAGCTTTACCATATTTATTTGACAAAATAAGTTGCTTGATACTTAGTATTTTGTACAGTTAGACTCTGAGTTAAAAGGAACACTAACTCACTGAGGCTGTTTTCAGTAATGCGGACTTATTGCAAAGTGATATCTGGAAATAAGGAAGAAGGAATCTGTGCCCTGTTGCCAGTCTTGCCAAGAATCCAGTAACAGCAGCAGCACAGCCAGGTCTTATAAGGAAAAGGGCTGAAGGCAAATTGCAAAGAAACTAGCACTTAGCCTAGGGCCTGTAAAACTGTGTAGGTCTCATATTGCTTAGCTGTAATCCTTTAGCTATAGGAATTTTATTACTACCTCTGGTGCTCTACTCTTATTGTCAGGTTGTTTCTTTCAGCTCTAATTCATCTGACCATTTTCTCACTTTGAGTTTCTGTGGGTCTTAAATGCACACCACCCCAGAGGAAAGAGTTAAATAGTCAGACCCAGCACCATCTGATATAAAGTCCCCTACTGAACAGAACTCTAGCACCAGCCCCCGTCATAAGAGTTGGTTTATGCAAGGGGTGTTCTGGGTCCAGTGCCTCCCCTACTGTTAGTTTCCCTGGGAAGGGCTCTGTTTATGGCAGGCACTCCATGCACAAATGATCAGTCTCTGGTCTACCCACGAAGGAAAGATCTGAAACATGTTTTCCATGAAATTTTTAATGTAATATTTTTTCAAAACAGTGTACTACATTTTAACAATTTATATTTTCATTAATTTTCAGAGAATATATAAAAATCTTCATATTTTTGTGATCATGAGTCCTGAAGGACCTAGCTTCCGCCAAAATTGTAGAGTATATCCTTCTATGATTAGCTCCTGCACGATTGATTGGTACGAGAGGTGGCCAGAAGAAGCTCTCCTTATTGTAGCTAACTCATTCTTAAACGAAAAAGTCAATTTTGAGAACAGAGAGGTAAATATTTAATACAAGTGAAGGTTTCAGTTTATTGACAGCATCTGATGGTATTATGCCTCTGCCTAGATGGACAAAAACAGGCAGTTCTAAGCCAGTTTATAATAAAATGGATCAAGTGTTTACATTGATTCCCTATTAATTCCCCATCTCTTGTACCCCTGAATTCACCCTATTTCAAAGATGCCCAGATTCAGATTCTGCAATGCCTGGGTCTCTTCACTATGCTGTCCACATGGTGGAACAGCAGATTTCTATGAAGGAAAACAGTCTCCATTCTGCATACCAGATTCTATGGTAAGGATGCTGCAACCTTCTGTGTATTCCTTGTAAATTGTTCTGGCTTGGCTACAACAGCAAGTCAGCAAAGCAGTGACAGCACAAGCCACAACACAAAATTAACTCAGAATTTATGAGCCAACAGTAAGAAAGAACCTATTCTGGAGTGACTAAACTGAAGATCCCATAAGACCTAGCTGACAGCAAAGGGGGTAAGAAGTGTTGACCAAAGGAGCTGTAAATGCATAGAGAACTGAAATTCAACGTAGGACATTTCTAGGTCCTATGGGACCAATGGGATTGCATCCTTACTTGTCTAAGTGATCAAGGAAAGCAAAGGCCAAGGAGGACAGAGGCAGGGTAGAACCAGAAGAAAACAAAAATGCAGCTGAGTTAAAAGTGACCAGTGACTGCTTAGACTTGGACTGGAGATGAGTCATCAGGACTAGCTTATGTCTAAATCAGAATTATCTCCCAATCCAGGCAAAGAGAATATTCTTCGCAGTCTGGTTTTGCTCATCTGCACATCCTTTGAGTCCTTGCATTTTTGTAGCTTTATTTTACTCAAGGAAATTTCCTTGAGTATCCTGCTATTGATAACCACTTTAAGAAAGAAATATAAAAGATAAAGAAGGCTGGGCATGGTGACTCACACCTATAATCCCAGCATTTTGGGAGGCAAGGCAGGAGGATTGGTTGAGGTCAGGAGTTCAAGACCAGCCTGGGCAACATGGTGAAACTCTGTTTCTACAAAAAATTTAGAAAATTAGCCAGTTGTGGTGGCACACATCTGTAGTCCCAGTTACATGGGAGGATGAGGCAGGAGGATCTCTTGAGCCCAAGAGTTTGAGGCTATAGTGAACTATTATTACAACACTGTACTTTGGCCTGGGCAAAAAAGCAAGACCTAGTCTCAAAATAAAAAATAAATAAAAAGTGTTAAGACAAAGAAAACATTATAACCCTTGGCCATTGATACCAATGCCCTAAATCTTTGGATGACTATAGTAAAAGTGAGAATAACGTACGGGTAAAGCCTAGAAGGATGAATGTGGCATGCCATTCATAGTTAGCTCTACTGTTGCCCCACCACCATCCCAACAATTAAAACTCATATTTTCGGCCGGGCACGGTGGCTCAAGCCTGTAATCCCAGCACTTTGGGAGGCCAAGATGGGAGGATCATGAGGTCAGGAGATCGAGACCATCCTGGCTAACACGGTGAAACCCTGTCTCTACTAAAAAAAAAAATACAAAAACCTAGCCGGGGGAGGTGGCGGGCGCCTGTAGTCCCAGCTACTCAGGAGGCTGAGGCAGGAGAACAGCGTAAACTCGGGAGGCAGAGCTTGCAGTGAGCTGAGATCCGGCCACTGCACTCCAGCCTGGGCGACAAAGCGAGACTCTGTCTCAACAACAAAAAAAAAAACTCATGTTTTCTTTGTCCTGCTCATCCAGGAGCTCCCTCTTCATCTCCAGATCTCAGAAATAATAAGCTATTTTAATTAATTCCAAGTGTTCAACTTTCTCTTTTTATGTATATTTGGATTGCTTTCTCTTAATTCTTAAAAATTATTATTCTTCAGAACTTGAAAGAAAAACTTGCCCCAACCTGTGTCCAAATCCACAAAAGCATGAAAGACTTGAACAGAAAATACTTTGAAGAAACTGGAAGATTTTATTATACCACTCCCAGTAGCTACTTGCAATTTATGGAAACATTTGCACACATTTTGAGGGCACGAGAGGAAGAGATGCAAACAAAGAGGTAAGACTTTGAGAACAAATCAGAAATATATTTTATATTGGTGTTTTTGTTTGCGAAAAGAGACACAAATGCAAAATGGTGAGCCAAATCTGCCTTTTTGGTGGGACAAAAAGCCAGAAGCTGCAGAAGATCTTAAAGGAGATAAGGTTGATATTCCCCCTGTGTGCCTTCAAAGGCTGCCCCTGTCAAGGCAAGGCTGACAGACTTGGCCAGTAAATAAACAATTAGTCCCTGTTGCATTCCAACAGTTTATTTCTTACATGGACAATGAAAGCAAGAGTAACTAACAGTACCAGTCCCCATGTCCTTTGTCTCATGGGATGACAGCAAAATAAAAGGCTTCAGATGACTACAACACCGATAGTGGAACACTTGCTAAGCAGTTTTATAGCCAGCATTGGTACCTGAGGAGGCATGGGAAGAAACATGAAGCAGCAGACCTCACTGCTAATCAGAATACAAGAGACATTGGAAAACTGTCTTATGACAATCTTCCAGGAAGATGGGGAAATTAGTAGGAAATGGCCTTGTAGCATCTACTCACAAGCGCCCCACATTTTTGTGTTCCAGAAAGATCAGGGGTGTCCTGCCAACACTTAGATCAACTGCGGCCAAGCCTTGTCTATATAACCTATATGGAGACATGAAAGGCTGCCGAGGCACCATGGTGGAACTATTCCCCTCCAAGTCCATCTCCTAAACCTTTCATGTATCTAGCTAATAATTCTTTTTTTAAAATAGCCCACTCCGTCAGATACCCTAACTAATTACTCTGATTGGGGCCTGGGCCAGATTCATTCCATTTGCCATAGGGAACACTGTATGAGAGTGATCATGACTGTGACTCTCACTTGGAGGATAGACCACAGCCAAGCTCCCTGTCTGGAGCTAAGCCAGTTAAAAATGTTATTAATCCAAGTGCATCAAGAGGTATTGGCCATTGCACATTCTCTGTCTCAACTAGCCAGCAGGAAGTCCAGTGCAATGTGATTTTTCATCAGCGCTCGTGCTGGAGAGTGTGAACTAATTTGTGTGCCACAGGTAAGTATAGGCCTGACATTTACATAAGAAGTAGCAACCTCAATAGCAGCTTTTTGCTAATGTGGGGTCGGGGTCTAATTTTATTAAGTTTTTGTTAACAAGGTCAGGTAGGGCATGATAGATCCAATAACAGTTCATTTTAGAGCAGTTGAGGTAGTCTGAATATAATAATGAGGCTAAAGAGAATCACATCAGTGCTCAGAAAGCTAATCTTGTTCCGTTTCAAGGAAAAGTTGTTCACTCCTGGGATCAGCAGATCCTAAGAGGTTTCTGAGAGTCCTTAGATTTTTGCTGGTCAGCAGTTAAATTAAGGATAATGTCAACGGTCTGAGAAAATTGGCCAGATGCCTTACAGGCGAGAGTCAAGAGAGTTTAATGAACCTTCCTCTCACTCCTAAGCTCCTGGGATCTAAGGTGTCCCCTCCCCATCACCCAGGGTTGTAGCTCTCCATTCACAGCTGTGTAATCAGTATGACCAGTCTCTATCACAGTCATTCACCCCTTTTCCAGTCCTCCTCATGTCTTACCCACAACACAACTCTAGATCACTCAGCAGTTTCTTCCGTACGTACCTTGTACTATCGTAGGACATCTTCCACCCCCAATGCGTGGGCCATGCAAGGACAGTCTTAAGAGCTATATCACCTTATATGCATAATCATTATTATCAACATCCATAACTGGTTATATCCAGCAAGCATATCTCGGTGGCAAAAGACAGGTTATAGTCTCCCACTGCTCAACTCTTCTTTGCTACTTGGAAATTTCAGTAGTCCAGTTTCCCAGGGGTAGATGTTGGGGGAGAAAAAGCGAGAAGAGTTAATTATATGGTTTGGGTCTCTTACAGCCTATCTGGTCCTCTTTCCCACCCCAAAACTTACAATTAAATATTCTGTTTAAATGAAAGGTACCCTTATGGAGAATTAGTACATTTAAAGCCCAATTTGCCTGTCTTAAGTGTACTCCAGTGGGAGCTGAGCCTCAGATGCCCAGTTCTCATTATTAGTTTTTCCTTTGAGTCCATTTTATTTTTAACAGCATCTGTTCTTCATCAAGTTGAGAAATTTCCCCTCTCTTCCTAGTCATCATTAATTTTATCAAATATTTTTTCTGCATCAATGGATGCTGACGCAGCAGTGAATTTTCTTCTTTATAGCTTGTTAATATAGTGGATTATATTGATTGACTTTCAAATAGTGAGCCAGTCTTGCATCTCTAGAATAAACTCCATTTGGCCATAATTTGAGTAATTCTTTTTATATATTATCAAATTGTATTTGCCAAATTGTGTTATATCTTACACCTTCTTAATACTTTTTCTTCTTCAGGGATCGCTTCCATATGGGTCTATCCACAATCCTGGAAGCAACCACACTAGTTACAGAAATGCAAGAAGAGCTCTTGATTCTTGGCCCTCAAGTAGAACAAAAAACAAAGGTATGTTTGCTTTGAAATCTCTTTTAAAGATTTTATAGTCTAATATAGAACAGTGTTTGAAAGCAAAGGCTCTGATACCTGACAAAGATAGGCTAGAACTCCAGCTTTGTTACCCTATAGTTGTATACATATGAAAGAAATAACTTGTTTTTTTGTCTCAATTTATCTGTAAAATGAGAACAAAAAAGCAATAACAGCAAAATAGTAACATTATTACATTTTAATAATTAAGGGTAATAGGTATATAGCTAACTGTAGAAGCTTATGTAGAAAGATTCCCTAGTCAGTTAGTTAAATCCATCTGAAATATGCTGTGATAACTTGCAGTCTATCAACTATTCTAAAAACCATCATTCATCATCACTCTTTGTGTGTAATGCATGAAATATTTACTGTAGTCATCCCAGGCAATATCCCAATGGCAGACCAATGGAAGAGAGCACCAGTGGCAGAGAGCTACCATCAAGCATGGTGGATGACAGAGCTTCTAAGAGGGGGCGCAGCTGAGAGCTGGCCAAATGGTGAGAGCTCTTGCTCTCTCCATTTTATTTGTCTCTTGCTCTCTCTCTCATTTTATGCATCTATTAAATATATTTCAGGCTGATTTTAATAAACTTTACCATAGTGAAATGAGATATTTGAATTACTCTTTTAGAAAAGAGATCACGTCTCTTAAAATTCATTCTAAGAACAATTATGTGCTTCATTAGGAAACAGAAACTCTAATGGAAAAACTACGGAAAGATTCACAAGTAGTTGAGAAAGTTCAGATGCTTGTTAAACAGGATGAAGAAATTGTGGCAGAAGAAGTAAGAATTGTGGAAGATTATGCTCAGGTAAAATTCAAATATAGTCAATACAAATAATTTGGAGATTTGAAAAAGTATTCCCTAACCTTCAAGTTTAAAAGTCAGACTGACTGGTCTTAAATATATAGTGCCTCAACTGTGGTTACTTTTCACTGTAATTCCAACAACTATTTATTGAGTCCCTACTACACACAGGATAACATTAAATGAAAATATGAAGTCCAAACATGCGTGTTCCCTGTCCTTGAGGAACCCACAATCTTAGGACACTTTTCTGATTACAATGAACAGAAACTCATGCAGGCCATACCAAAAGTACATTTGGCCTTCAAGTGTAACATCTGCAAGAAACAAGGCAGCTCAAGAGACTGGGTATTTGGTGTGTGTCACTTCTGTTGCTGACTGAATAACTCTCTCTTTTTAAATTGATCATTCTCCTCCATACACTCCAGTCGGGATCTCAGCAGGAGCCAGTGTGGTTTAGCAAATCACTGAATGCTCAACTCTGGTCTGATCAGTAGCTGTTCCTGCTCAGAGCAAGTCGAGAGTAGAGCTTGTCTTCCGTGTACAAAGGTTTTTAATCAAGCAATTCCATCAATTAAAATACATATGTGAGCCTATACTCTAGTATGTGTGTGAATTATTTATAGATAAATTATATCCATGGGCTACCACCATTAGCTAATAGCCCACAGCTCAACAAATATCTAGGGCAAGGTTTATTATGAATAACAGTGAATATACATACAGATTGCAAATAGTCCTTTCGGTCATTTCAAAATTTTCTTGTTGGTCTCTTGTCATACCTGATTAGCTCATCATTGCTTTTTACCTTGTAACGTGGTTGAAGAAAAATTTATATCAAGAATAAAAGAAGTGTCAGCCTGCCTTTTGCTTGTTGTTCACTTGTGCTTCCACTGTTAGCATTGCCTTCAATCCAGTGTTTCTTTCAGACATCTTTTTAAGCTACCTGCCCATGTTTTAGGAGCTAGGTTACAGAATAGGCAAACTAGATTACAGAATAGACAAATCCCTCACTTGGATACAAGTAAGCTGCAAGGCTTCCTAGCATCCTGAGTATTAAGCAAATAGGGGAGGCCCCACTCCTGAGCCTTCTCAGATGGGGAGCTTCCCCTCTTCCATTAAGATGCCACCTGTCTCACTGAGTGATCCAGAACTTCTGTGATGCCAACCACCTGAAGGTGCCACTGTTGATCAATATATTAAATATGAGTACGGGGCCAAGCAGGGTGGCTCATGCCTGTAATCTCAGCACTTTGGGAGGCCGAGGCAAGCAGATCACGAGGTCAGGAGATCAAGACCATCCTGGTCAACATGGTGAAACCCCGTCTCTACTAAAAATACAAAAATTAGCTGAGTGTGGTGGTGCACGCCTGTAATCCCAGCTACTCGGAAGGCTGAGGCAGGAGAATCGCTTGAACCTAGGAAGCAGAGATTGCAGTAAACCAAGATCACACCACTGCACTCCAGCCTGGTGAGAGCAAGACTCTGTCTAAATAAATAAATAAATAAATAAATAAATAAATAAGAGTATGGCTTAATTTCAGTATTTAATATTTTATGCCAAATAAAAATTAGTATAGAGAAATTCATGGGGTTCGTTGTTGGTTTTTGTTTTGCTTTGTTTTGTTTTGTTTTTTGCCATACCACAAAGGGTAATCTTTTTTATTCCCTGACTTCGGCACAAAGCCAGATACATTAGGGCCTGGGGCCATGTTTTTAAAAAGAATACAAAATTACTAGTACACAATTAGGTATGAAAGTAAATATGTACTTAGAATAAGTAAAGAAATCACAACAAGATATAAAATTTTGAAAGCTGACAATTATCACAAACATCACAAAATCTAGAAAATTACCTCACACACTCCTATAATACTTTGTTTAAATTTTTTATTATACTTTTAAGTTCTGGGATACATGTGCAGAATGTGCAAGTTTGTTACCTAGGTATATATGTGCCATGGTTTGCTGCACCCATTAACATGTCATCCATATTAGGCATTTCTCTTAATGCTATCCCTCCCCTCGCCCCTCACCCGGCAACAGGCCCCAGTGTGTGATGTCTCCTCCCTGTGCCCATATGTTCTCATTGTTCAGCTCCCACTTATGAGTAAGAATATGTGGTGTTTGGTTTTCTGTTCTTGTAATAGTTTGCAGAGAGTGATGGTTTCCAGCTTTATCCATGTCCCTGCAAAGGACATGAACTCATCCTTTTTATGGCTGCATGGTATTCCATGGTGTATATGTGCCACATTTTCTTTATCCAGTCTATCACTGATGGGCATTTGGGTTGGTTCCAAGTCTTTGCTATTGTGAATACTCCCGCAATAAACATACGTGTGCATGTGTCTTTATAGTAGAATGATTTATA